CCCGCCGGCGTGAGGAGCTGGCTGGGCCCGCGGGGCGGGGGCGCGAGGGGGTCTCTGCGGGGCTGCTGCCCTGGACCTGGGCGTCAGGACACAGATGCGCTGCCCAGCGCCATTTCCAAAGGGTCGGAACTGGGTTTTGAGGCCGCGTCCTGGGGCGTGCCGCCGTTCCCTGCCCCGCGGGAATGGGGGTGCCATTGTGCGCACCTCTGTTCCCGCTCAGTTGAAGAGGAGGCGACGGGCGGGGGCTGAAACGGGAGACTCTGGGCCTGATGCCGAGACTTGGGAAGCCCTTGGGGGGCAGAGGGGTGGCGGCAGCGGGCCCTGGGCAGGCGAGCAGGGCACCGGTGTCCCCAGGCAACGAGGGGTTTCCTGCGGCGGAGGAAGAAGGGTCGTGGAGTTTGGCTTGATGCCTCTATGCTTAGGACAGGAGTGCGAATAGCTGCGGGAGAGAGGCCAGTGCTGGGCGGCAGGGGTGGCCAGACGGGCAGGCGCCGGGGCTGGGCTCCGCCGGAGGGGGGACGCTGCGTGGGGCAGATGGCGGGGTGATGGTCCAGCTGCCGGGAAACCCGCGATCCCGAGGGCCCTGTGCAGACACACTGGGCCTGGGGCCACGCCCAGAAGGACACGTGGCTGTGTGGCCCCCTCCCGAGCCACCGATGGGAACAAATGGACACGCCACGGCAGGGGCGTCTGTGAACCGCCACACGCAGCCCCTTGGGGGAGTTGAGCTCCGTGCGCGCCGTCTGGTCGCGCTCCCGCGCAGCTGGGACTGCTCAAAGTGAACATGCGGCCAGCAAAGGCCCGTCCTCGCGCGGGCCTCCGTTCCCGCTGTCAAACGCGGGGGCTCCGGCCTCTGGGGGCAGACACGTGACTCCCGGGGCACAGTACGCCCCAGAGGAGGGGCGCGGGGGCTCCCCGGGGACTCGGGCACTGTGGCCCCCACGGTCGGGCTCGAGAGTGGACAGCGGCTGGCAGACTTGACCCTGAAGGCCCGGCCTGGGGCCCCACGGAGGAGGGACAAGGTCCAGGGCTGCCTGGCTCCCCAAGGCTGCGGCCTCCGGTGGAAAACAAGCCACGGGGCCTCCCTGGGCAGAGGTCAAGTCCCCGCGCTCTCAGGCTACCGCAGCCGCTCAGTGTGATTTTGATCTCTGCCAGGGAGGGACCCCAGGGCGCTGCAGGCCAAGCCTGACCTGCCCGCTGCCCCCCTGCAGGGCTGATGTTGTGCTCGGGTGAGCGCGCTCCCCAGTGAGGCCAACAAACAGGTCAGCAGCGCACAGTGCCCTCTGTCCTGCAAACAGCTGGTTTCAAGTAGCTACAAGGAGCCCCAGGCCCCGTGCACCCCTGCACCCCACCCTGATCGGCACATTTCCTGTTTTTCCCTGCGCGCACAGACCTGTGTGTACCCACGGGCCGTCCCAGTAAACGGACTCCGGACCCCAGCTCCTGCTTCGTTCTCTCGCGGCTCCGGGCCTCCTCCGTTCCTTCGGGCCAACTTGCGGTCAGTGTGCCCCTCGGTGGGTCAGCAACACCCCCCAGTGGTGTGTGTCAGTCCATCTGCCTGCTCTGCTCCCCGCTCTGCCTCTGGGGAGTCCTCTCACCCCCGCGCCGCTGGCGGCACCCCAGTTCTCGTGTGCATAAATAAATACATCTTGAAAAAAAGAAAAGAGAGACAAGGCGTGGCTCTCTGGCCTGGCTTCGCCCACGTGCAGAGAGAACGCGTGTGGGGGACACGTTAAAATAATAATCTGGCAAGAAACACCCTGCGCAGTCTGATTCATACACCAGCCTGCACTTCAAAGAGGCTGAGTTTTGTTTGTATTCTGGGGAATGAAGAGTCGTCGAAATGAGTCACCGGCCGCTGGGCTGGGGCGCCGAAGCCGTGGCCACGGGGGTGTGGGGGCAGCCACCGAGGAGGCCTGAGCCCCGCTCCCCCCCCGCGCCCAGCGCCCCCAGACGCTTCTTGTGCCAAAAGCGAGGACTCTCACACACTCACACAGCCCGGCCGGGGCCTCAGTTTCCCTCCCTGGAAACAGGGAGTTGGCGTGTGCCGCCAGCCTGGTGCAAGGGAACCCCGAAAGCCCCGGGTAGCGTGCTGGGGCTGCAGCGCAGGCAGGCAGGCGGGGAGCGGCGGGCAGGTGTCCAGGGGCAGGGGCAGCTGAGGGGCCCAGCGGAGAGGCGCAGCAGGCCCGGCCCCACCACACCTGG